ATTACATTTGTCAACATTAATGTGACAAATTTGTCGATTTATTTGAGTTTTTTTCGTCCTATTTTATTTAATCATAATAATAATTTGTAAGAGAAAAAATAAAACAAGTGCATTTAATTTTTTATTATTTTAGTGTTAGTCCAGCCATGGAAATCCATATAAATTTCTAATGTTTTAGTCAAGGCAACTTGTGTGGAAGAAAATAGGCCTTCTAGAAGATTTGATCCGCAATTTTGGCCGTTTTGACAATTGTAGTCCTGACAAGGATTTAAAAACATCTTCAAAAGAGAGCATATTTTACAATTTATTTTTTTTAAAAAAAAATATTTCAATAGGTTCTTTATCTTTAAAACTTAATTTTACTACTGCCATAAAATTATTATTTTTTACTAGCGTCCCTCCAACTTATTAAATTATTTTCTTCAATTGAAAATTAAAATAATCTATATTTTAAAATATTAATTTAAAGAGTCTATTGGAACATAATTTTAATAGATGACTCTTTAAAATAAAGAATAACTTATATTTAAAGAATTTCTTAGAAACGCTCTAAAGGTGTTAAATGAATCGAGTTGACTCGCTCAACTCGTACAATTCAACCCACAATACGAATAGCTAGTTTCGTCAAATGTGGGCTCGACTTGGCTCATGAGCTTAGCTACTTGGTGGAGCTATCTATTCGTGGCTCGACAATTTGTTTATTTTTAGTGAATTTATATTTTAGTCACAATTCATAAGCCAACTCATGGGAGAAAAAGAGAGCATACCTAAAAGAAAAGTCGGGAAAATAAGTTACTTAACTTAATATTCTTTTAGACTTATCCAAAATTATGGAGGAAAAAAGTTACTATATGTTATCTCATTTGCCATAGTGTCATTGGACCAAATTCTTGATTATGTGATTTTGTAAAGGTTTTGGATATCGGAGCATTTCAAAAGTCTATTTTTAAAGAGCATATTTTAAAATTGAAAGAATGTCTGTAAAATTTTTTAAATACTCCAATAATCTCTTTAATTTCAACGCTTACTTTCACTACTCTCAATATGTATTTATTATTTTTGCCAACTTCTCTTCAAATTATTATAATTTTTTTCCTTCATTTTCTTTGTATATATATTATTCAGTGGGGAAAATATTGAAAATTGAAATATTTTGAATGCATTTAATTATAAAAAAAATGATTTTGATTCCAAAATTATAATTTGAAGATTTTCTTGAAACATAATTTTAAGTGTCGATACTTTAAAAACCTATTGAAAATGCAATCATTATACATTTACATTAACTTTAACATTGTTATGAGGTGACATATTTTCACGTTAGAACCGTGCTGCACTGCCAGGCCTATAGAAGGCCTGGCGTGCAAATGTGAGGTAGGGGTGGGTGTTTAAACATTTGGGGGATTTTTTTTAATGAGGTCATGTGAGAGTTTTTGCTCTACCAGGCCTTTTACAGGCCTGGTAGAGCAGGTTAATTTTTCACGTTAATCATCACAACACTTTAAAAAATCAAATGATCAATGATACAGATTTTGACAACACTTAAATGTCATCCTTAACGTACACAAATGATGTACGACTAGGTTAATCTTTGCAAATGTTCCTACGAGAGTAAATTGTACCCACAAACAAACGTTTGCTCTCATGTCTGTTTCATTAGCTGTAAATTTTAACGAGAATAGTTGGAAACCACTGCAATCAATTATGTGGGACCGAATTCTACTATTCAATTTTAGCTCCATTCGATTGGGTGGAAATTAAAATTAAACATTTTTTAAATTTTGATAAAAGTTGATGAAATATATGGTTTAAAAGTTACGGAATCCCATGAAATACGTACTTAGAATTAATTATTAATTTAAATTTAAATTAAATTTTAAATCACTACCAAACAAGGAGCTTAGTATAGACAATAATGTCAAACAAATTCTGCAATTGTGTAGAGTTTTTATGCTCGAGTGCTTATTTATTATAATTAGTAAGATGCACGTGCATAGTATAGTTGGCTATATGATAGCATAAATATTAAAAAAATTATTTGTCTTAAACATTAGTTACATGAAATTTAAAACACTTGAAATGGTGATAGGTGACAAAAATAATTTTAAGAGATTTGATTCAAAACTTA